CCCCCCAAGAATGTTCAAACCCTTCCCCACCCAGCGCTGATCTCTGCAGGCTCCAGGAAGCTGGACTCGGGTTCCAAAGAGAAAGCTCAGTTCCCAGTACACCCTCTGAAATTCCCTCCGAAGTTGCAGAGTTGACAAAGCCCGCAGGCTAACCAACAGAAAGGCCGCAGAATGCCCAGCGCCTCGGAGCAAAATGCGCTGTGCCGTCATCTCCCTGCCGGCCTTTGCCCAGCCCTGCTCAGCGTGAGCAAAACGCCTCACGCATCGATTGACCAGAAGGTTTATCGAGCTGACCGTCCGTGATACGGGTGGGGGGCTGCAGCCAAAGACACGTGAGAAGGGATAGAAACTAGCTGTGTCAAGTGTTAGGCGAGACGTGTCCCGGATCCCTCCTTTCCCAAAAGCTCCCGGACGACCCGGAACAAGGAAGCCCTTTCTTTATGTGGTGCTGACCTCTAGAGGCATCCAATTAGAAAGCATCGCAAAGGATCAACTTCATCTCACTGCTGGCTTTCCCATCCCACGTGGCCGCCGTACTTCCCTGGCAAATGAAGTGCTACTTGAGGAAATGCCTACCTTTGCTTGGCTGCCTATTTACAGCGTGCCTAGACGTCTATAAACGTCGCTGCTTCCTCATCAAGAGGAAATTATGGTGGGTGGGAGGGATGGAAAGAATTTCCAAGCGTCCCGCCTGTGGTACCGAGAGGGAAAGGACAGGGCTAGCTATTTCAGGAGGTGGTTCCGGGGTGCCCAAAGTACAGATGGCCGGCCCTGCAGAGTGGGGTAAGAAGTGTTCGCGGTTACTGCAGTTCAGCTGGGCTCCGGGCGAAACCGGCTGCAAGACGTTCCCACACACAGCAAGTCCACCGGGGCCAGCCCCAGTCAGGGGCCGCATGCTGGGGGGCGGGATGTTGTTTGTTTAAACTTCGAGCCACATGGGTGTGCAGGAGCAGAAGGGACAAGGTGGCAATCCCACCCAGCCCAACTAACTGTGGAAACAAGGTTTATTTCCAAAGGAAACCAGACGATGACATCCCTAAGTGAAATATCCCAAAGCTTCCTATTTTGTTGTAGGAGTCCTAGGGACGATGGCTTCAGATGGAGAAGAGTTTTGCCAATACTGTAGCTGGAACCCTGGTACCGAACCCAGGTTTGGCTGCTTGTCACCAGAAAGCCAATATTCCAGAGCCAAGTGTCGGCATAAGGAAAGGTCACTTTACTTAGGAAGCCAGCAGCCAGGGGACATGGCTGGCTAATGTCCAAGGACCATCTGGAAGGTCCTACAGGGGCTTTCGAAGGAAAAAATAATAGTAAGGGAAGCGACGATTCATGTGTTGTTTGCAAAGTTTAAGCTAAGTTTCTGAGCTGGTCACGTGAGGATGGAGGAGGTGGGGGCGGGTTATTGGTGGCACCTTCCTCCTCCCTCTCTCCATGACCAGGTGTCTGCAAAGACTCAGCGAGGTTATTATTAACGGCCACTAGTTAGGCTCTAGGCTAATGTACTGGGAGGGAGGGGAAAGGTCGGGCTCTGCAGGGCTCACTGTGAGGGAGGTTAAAGTTTAAGACTGACTTTAGTCTAAAACAGACTCCAAGACTAAGGGCAGCATGGAATCACTTTGGTTCTCTTACGGCTTGGTGACACCGGTCACTTGGCCTGGTCCTGAGAGACAGCGCTGTCCTGTAACTGTTTCCCACCCGCTCTACCAATTCTGCCAGGCCAGATGGCCCACGTCCTCACAGGGCTAGGCCCTGTGGAACTCAGGGGTCTCCAGTTCTCACCTCACAGAGGAAGAAATAAAGCTGAGGGGATGGGTGGGGACTGCAGAAGGGACTGGTACAGGTCACAGGGTCAGGGACAGAATCAATGCTAGTTGACTTCAGAATGATTCACTGCAAAGTGGAAATGTGGGTCTTCTCTTTCTCCCTCTTTTTCTCTTTTCTTCTTTCCTTCTTTCTTTCCCTCTCTCTCTTTATGTTTTTTGCCTTAGGACAATGACCCACTAGAAAGACAGTGAGAAGGAAAGTGAGAAATCACCCCCCTGGTAGGGGTGACCACACCACAATCAGTTCTCCTCTCCCCTCCTAAGAGTTTGAGCATGCATGCACATTTGCCCAGCATGATTTTCAAGCCACCAGGTAGAGGACTTGAACCACAGTCAGCTATGTGGAAGTCTAAGGCCTAAACCACCATGCCACCTTCTGCCACCTGAAATGTGGGTATTTCTAGCATTAGTTCCTGCACTTGAAGGAGCCAATCTGCACTTTATGAAGTGTATCTGTGAAAGTGATCAAATACTGGTGACAGGGAACAGCAGATGGAGGAATGGTTATGTCACTGGACTCCCACACAGTCGACTACGATGTGACTCCCGGACTGTGACAAAAAATCTCATATTGGGCATGTGTGCGTGCATGCATGCCCATGATCTCGAGAATGGAGAAGGGACTGCACCATGGCCATCCCCCCTGCTTTCTCTGTCTCTCTGGTGAGCGCAAATGCCCTATAGCAAAAATCTCTCTAAAAAACAAATCAAATAAGCAAAAAGAATGAGAAGGGAGTTCTCCTGTAAGTAGGGCTTATGCACCACCCTGCTCCCGTCAGCCTCTTAGACTGGGGAGGTTTTGAATGCTTGTACACAACCCACCACTAAAGAACAATCTAAAAAATGAACCACGAATTATCTAAAACATATACACACAGGGGCCAGATGGTGGCACAGGGGTAAACCATGAGCTCTGCTAGGGAAGCCCACATAGGAAGGTTACCAGTTCAAGTCCAGAGACCTCCCTAATTATGTCCAGCACACGTCTGACCAAGATGCAAGACTGGCTGAAGCTGGGGTTGTTGGACTATGGTGCCATAGTTGGAGTGCTGTCTAGCTTGTCTGTCTCTCACGGAAGGAAGAGATAAACTTAAAAAATAAAATATAAGAGCCATCAGGTGTAGCAGTTAAGGCACTGAACTCCCAGATGGCCACCCATAGTTCAAGTCCTGGACTTGGCGGCTTGAGAATAAAACCACTCCAGGTACACATGCCCGTGCACCAAAATCCCAAGAGGAGAACGGAGGAAAAGAAACTGCAGTGTGCCATCCCCCTGGGGAGTGATTTGCTCACTTCACTTCTGTCTGTCTTTCTGGCAGGTACATGTGCCTCATGGCAGAAACCTAAAAATACATACACAAAATAAAATCTATTCACGAGCCTCTACACTGTGTCTGTTAAGCCCATCACAGATCTAATGTAACAATCTATGGAGACCCTTTCACTTGGAGGAAAAAATGTGCTCTTTATCAAATAATGGAACTTATCACCCACTCCGGGATGGACTACTTAAATGCCACTGTTCAGTGAACAGTAACTGGGAGGAAAGTGGGCAAATAAATGGTGGCGGATCATCACAGGATGACCACAGAATACAGATTTCTAATTGGGGCCACAGAGGGATCCTAACTCAGAAAAAGAATAGGTTCTCACATTTAAAACTCCATTTACTAGTTCAAAGGAGGAGTGGAAAATCACTACGTACGAGCTCTAGCATCCCAGGAGCTGCATGCCCAAAACGACATAAATGGTTAACCTCTGAATCTGTTGACAGTGTTTTACGAAACCATCCTCTCACCCCCAGCCGTCTCCTCATATCCCCCTGGCCCCCCCAGCAGATGGTCCTTGTCCCTCATGTATCAATAACATCAGGTGTCCTTTAAGACCAAACACTGTGGAGGGAGCGAAAAAGAGGCCAACAGCACCGGTCTGGAAGGCTCTTTAATAGCAAGCGTATGGTAATTACATGGTCGGATGAGATCCTCGCTCCTGGGGAGGGAGGAGGGAGCAGATGTGGACAGGGCTCGGTACTGGATTTACACTGTTTGAAGCATCTAACCACGGGCAACAATTTTTGGCAACCCATTTCACAGTTTTGTCATTTACAAGAGATTTCTTCGAAAGGAAATAGGAAGGCAAAGAAAGCACAACACCCTACAGGAAACATTTCTTGCCTTGAACAGACAAAACGAAACAACTGTTCCTTGCTTTTGCTTCTTGGGGAACGGCGGGATTTTGCTCTCATACCCAGATCGAGACCAGACGGCAGACGGTTCAGAGTGCCCGAGAGCTGAGGCGGTCCTCCTCCCTGCAAAGCTGCCGTTCCAGGGAGCGCCGCCCTGCGTCTTTACCTGCCAGGATGGCAGAAGGTACCTAGTGAAAAGTGAACCCTGGGAGACGAAAACAGAAGGGAAAACCAGGAAAAGACAGTTCACAGAGAACAGACTGTCAGCCTCCTCTCTGGTGCCAAACAACTTGAATACAGTTCTAAGTGAATGACACACTTGTTCTTCCTGTGGCCTGGCGCCCATTTTTACCATGCTATTGAGCCCTGCACGTGTCATAAATGGGGTTTTCTAATGTGAAGTGCTCATAGGTTTGCTGCTTTTGTAATCCAAATCTAAGAAAAAATGATAAAAGACCACCTCTTATTGAATCGTTTGCCCAATGAGGGGCTATAGCTATTTTACCGTGGACACCACAGGCTAAGTTCTAGAATTACTCTGTATAAAACATAAAGGACTTGAGCTTCTCCTGTCTTACCTGTTATCACAAAGCCAAGATAACTGGGTCTTTATGAAAGAGAATTATTATTTAATTCTAAAAAACGTTAGGGCTTCTTTGAAGACTAAGTAACCGGCAATGGCATGTCTTTGGAGTTAACACTTTACGAGGAAGAAGGGTCGGCAATCCACTCGAGTTTCATTGTGCTCTTTCTACAGCCCTGAAGCACAGTCACTGGGCCCTTCCCTCTGGCCCACGGGGCATTTCCAGCCTTGGCCTCCTCACAGGCACCAGTGACACCCAACTTTGGTTCACGTTCTGCCTGCCTGGCGACTGAAGGCCCTCTGCATCTGTTAGAACTCCGGAAGGATTGGCAGGTCACCGGCTGTCCCCTTAGCTTGGGAGCACCTTTCAAGTTACAGAGCCATTACCAGCACAAGGCCTTCCTTGCCTCTCAACCCTGTCACCCCCTCTGAGGAAAGCAGGCTACGGAAACAGTTTTCCTGTGACCCACGTGGTAACGCCCACTGGCTTTTGTGATTTCAACACTCAGAGGCTTACACTCCTACTCTCCCTCATTCACCTCCCCCCAGTGTAAGTCCTGCCTCTTCCTGTGTGCCTCATGGTGGGAAGTCAGATTTGTTCCTATCGCAACTTTCCCAACTTGTCAATTTTCACATGCAAAGCAGACCCCTAACATACAAGTTCCGACGATGCTCTGGATCGCCTGCCCCTAGTCCCTTGCTTTGTGCTCTTAGGAAACAGAAACGATATCGGGAGACAGTGTGCTACAGAGCGGTTTCTGCTTATGCGTGAAAGACGGTCACTTCTAGAGGAAAGAAATTCCCCTTCCACCAGAGAGCTAAGTCTGGCAGCAGGACACAGGGAGACCCCGACAGAGGACTTCCTGTTGTGTCCCAGGTGCTGCTGTGGGTGAGGGAGACAGGAGTGGACACCAGTGGAGCAAATCCACGGCGGTGACAGGCACTGCGTGGGGTGGCACCTCCCTCCCTGGCTCCGTGACTTTCTCCGATTCCCTGAAGCCTGCTTGATATGATCAGGCAGAGGAAAGGAACCAGGGAGCTGTAAGAAACGTGTCACCATGATGTGCTCACATCCAGGACCACAGTTGTGTGACGTTATCACAGGCGTGACTTCAGACTGCACAGCTAGCCCACAGTGATCAGCAAGCAGCCCGCCCTTCCCATTCTCACACACACGACATCCTTGCACCGTCATTCACTCTTACGTTAACTGTCACTTTCTGCTGAAGGACATGGCGAACAGTAAAAGTACTCATCTTTCAGTCTTGCAGCTGTTCTTCATGCAAATCTCTCCCCCCTCGATTAAGTTCAATTTGGAACCAATTCCAAAGCCTCAGTCTATCGGGCTCAAAAAAAAAAAAAAAAAGAGGCAAACAGCACCGGTCTGGAAGGCTAAGCCTCCCACAGGCAGGGCGACATGGTCGAGACGAGCACGTCCCTGGGGCCTTGCTCACAGGCCAACGTGTTCTAAAGGAACCCCAGGGCCAGCATCCCGCCAAGATCCCGAATGTCTTCCCATCTCATGTCCCTGTAAGTCTCCGTGACTGGTGCTCCTTCTACACCCTTGTCAAAGGCAGGCACAGCAGGACAGTGGTTAAAGCCACAAGGGCAAACACCCCTTGCGTCACAGACGGATTGACTTGTTAAAGTCACACAGTCCCTCAGGACTAAACCCAGGTGTCTCCTCGTTCCCAGGTCCAGGCTCCTCCCACATAGCTGCCTCCTGGAAAGGTGCTTGTATGTTTGAGGAAGGCTAGGAGCTGGTCTCTCTGTGGAACTGTGTGCACAAAACCACAGGCTGCCATACCTCACGGGCCACAGGCGACGTTTTTACAGTGTGAGCTGCAGGGCTGCACAGCTCTGATCAGCGAAGCCACAGTGCAGGCGTGGGTGTGTGGGTGTGTGGGTGTGTGGGTGTGTGGGGGTGTGTGCAAGCGCAGCCGCGCGGGAGAGTGTGAGTGAGAGGGAGAGCACGCGCTGGGAAGGACGAGCACATAATCACGGAAAAGGAAGTTTCGGAGGAAACAATCGACTTTGGGATTTTGCAGTGGAAAATAACGTTCAGCCATGTCGGCTCTTCCCTATCCCCGTGCAGACGAAGATGAGAGTCCTCATCAGCTCACTAAACAGCTAAGTCTCTCTCAGCTCAGTTTATATCAACAGAGAATATTAACATGATAATACCAAAATGCATTTGGTCAAAGTCTAAACACTTTTTTGATAAAATACACTTGAAATCAACATCCCATCGCTTCCGAACACGTACCAAGTTAGATCGTAAGCCCCTCTGTATAACATTCCAGTTTTCCTTCCCCTGGAGCCAGCTAGCTGAGCGTCTTCACATCAAATGTTGCAGAAGTCATTCTTGGGGGCCTAGGTGTCAACAGAAGTGGCAAACCTGGGCGACGTCTACAGAAGGGGTAGCTCACGATCACCTCTGCTCAGACTGAGCCCGTCAGCACCCGGGTGGCACTGCAAAGGGGACAAGCAGCTCCCCCCAGTGGATGGACAACCAGATTCTGTCTTGCTACTAGGCTACTCGGCAGGATTCATTTTACTCAAAATGAACTTTGACTACATTTTTCTGAAAAACAGAACAGAATAAAACTGTGGGCACTAAAGCACGGATGGAAATCACTGTATTGTCACCCAATGACTTAAAACTGCAGGACACTGTGTGACCACGAGTGGCCAAACTCCTCACGGCACCAATCGATTAAACAGAAAACGTTGAGACGATCAGGTTTACACCGACATGCCTGGAAGATATACAAGACTCCCATAAGTTCTGTGGCCTCTGCTGCTTTTGTAAAAAATTCAAAACTCTGACAACCTGACAGGCACGTGTGTGCACGTTTAAAACAATCCCACCCCGGATGCTAGGTTTAGTCGACCGTTGGAAAGGAGGCGTCCCACATCTGAAGGCATCAGAACCAGAGATGCGGAATTGTTTCAGATGATTCCACGGTAGCATTACGAAGGCTTCCCTGGTAAGTATTTGCTGGCTAACCGATTGCAGTGTCCTTCCAGTTATTACAGAAGTTGTTCCTGTGAGTTGTCTGAGTGTCTTGATCACTAAAATGTCCCCTTGAACCAAGCTAACAATGAGAAGATCCCTATTTATGTGTGTCGCTTGAAAAATTCACTGCAGTTAGGTCCCTCGAACACTGGATTACGATTTTTTAATAAACTACATAATGGGATCCTTTGCTTGACTTTTTCTTTCTTTTCAAGGAATAAAAGATTAAGAAAGTAAAGAAGGATTCCATCTTTTTTCTTTTTTTTTTTAACTTTTTCTCCTGGTTTATTTTCCTATTAAATTTCTTTATGGCTTCAAAGTTTAAGTGGCACTTGGATTCTGGATGTTTTCATGATTTAACAAGTTGCCATCTCATTATTAAGAGAAAAGGTAAATGTTTCAATTCCTATGTGGGACGTTTTATAAACATTTTAAAGAAATCAAGCATCGATGTCTTTCACCCCATTTACATTTTCCACTGTTAGACGTTAAAAGTAGCTTTGGAATTAGCATGTTTGAAACAACTGAACGAGTAACATTTACACCTAACCATGAACCAGTTGCTACATACTTAGGTAACTTAGTAATGGCAAAACACTTAAAGGCTTCTCGGCCTGTCTTACCCTCTTAATCCAAGTCTAAGTGATTATCCTTTTCTTGCATTTGCACTTGGGCAGTTTAATGACTAGATATTAAAACTCATGCTTTATAAGCAAAACCTTTCACTTACGGACACTTAAAAGGTACATAAAAAGTGCAGACTGCATTTCTTCTCTGCCATGCTCCCCTCGGTAAGGGCACCTGTGAGGACTCAAACATACCCTTAATACATTCACAGTTCTCTACATTCGAGTCAGCAAATGTTAATTCTCCAACATAAACTCAAGAGAGATCAGTCAGCCACAAAATGGACTCTAACTTCAAAATGGCAAAGGCTACCAAGACAACTCCAGAGAAACCCCACGGAAGCGGGAGTGAAATTCAGGTCACTTCTGAGCAAAGCTCATCACAGATATTTTGTGGTCATTCAAAAGGTATTTCATTAGAATTTGGGTACTGGGAGCCAGACGTCCTGTTTCGAAGTGCGAATGCAAACTGCTAGCCCAGGAGCGCAGGACCCCCCCAGGGTGCCCCGGGGCTCATTCTCCTTTTCCACTAGGCACCCCTGGAGGTTTACTGCTGGCTGACCCCCATCTGGGGGTGGTCCGCCTCTGGCTCCTCCTCTTCCACGTCTGCACTGTACTCTTCGAATGCATCGTCATCTGCATCCGGAAGCCCCAGTAACTACAGGGAGAGAAGAGAGAAGAGTTGTGAGCAGTGAGTGAGCCAGGGCAGGAGGACGACCAGAGACACACGATCCAAATCAAACAGCCCTGAGCAGGTTTCCACAAACTACCCCTACAGCCATCTATCAGATGAAAAGGTCCATCCTTCAGTGGGCCGGTGCCCAAGGGGCTATTTTACTGGGGAGCCTGGAGAGTCTCTATTAAGAATCGAGGCATGGACACCCCGTTGCACACACATCCAGGTATGCTATCAAACGCACCCACATCGGGGCTGCTGGCAGGATATGAGTGACAGTGCCGATGGGCCTGCGAGATGGCAAAAATCAACTCCCTGCTCTATTTTCTCCCCCCCAAACACATGGCACCATTGCTTATAAGACATTTTATAAGAAATGTGGAGACAAGTAAAACGTTCAACGGCAAAATGGTCAAATAAATTAGGAGGCATGAGTAACGTGAATCTCACATATCCACTCAAAATGGCATTTTAAAATCATTTCGTGATATAAAAAATAGGCATATGAATGTAAAAAGAGCATAAGATGACATTTGCACTACAATGCTGATATTCTTGGAATTTACACATATGTGCATTTAAAAAAGAATTCAATGAAATTTATCCAAAATCTAAGCGGTTTATTTAAAAATAAAGACTAGCATTACGGATAAATTTTGTCCTTTCTATTTTTTTTTAAGAGGTTTTTGCTATAGGGCGTGTGAACTTGCCATAATGAGATAAGACAGAGAGATAGAAAGCAAGAAATCACCCCCCAGGGGGGATGGCCACACTGCAATCCCTTCTCCTCCATTCTCCTCTCGGGATCTTGGGCACGCACGTACATGTGCCCGGCGTGAGTTTAAGCCACCGGGTCCGGGACTCAAACTGCAGTCGACTACATGGGAGTCCAGTGACAGCCATTATGCTAACTGCTGGTCCTCCTTTATATGTTTTTGTATATTCCAAATAGTCTATCATTATCAGGAAAACTGACGATAAATCTATTTTTTAAAGTACCACGTGCTATTTACTGGGCCTGGTCAACCGGAACAAGCTCTTGTGCGGGGAGAAAGCCACGGCCTGGGCTTGTCGGTGTGCACCAGGCTCCCACTTCACAGCTCCTTCATGAGACCTACAGTCTGTATGTGCCTGGGATTTTTAGCAGAGGAGCCCCAGGTTGGTCGCTTCCAGCTGTCTTCACTGAGTGGCCCCAATGCCCCAAACACTAACTGCAGGAAGACCAACCACTCTGCAGGTTCTGCATTGTCTTGCCGGGGTCCCAGCACCACCCTCCTCCAGCTCCCTCCCAGTGCTTAACTAGGGCAAAGGTAACCAGAGTCCACCCCATAGGGTGCCCACACCTGAAGTTCCCCAAATGCTATGCTCAGATCTCAGAGAACTCTGTGAGCACCCCGCTTTCCCCTCAGAGCTGCTGCTGGCTCAAGGGACACTGTCGGCTTGATGAGGAAGAGCAGGAGGAGCACATCTCAGCTTCTCCGGGTGGGGTGTCCCAACCTCCTGTGTGCTTGGGAGAACAAAGAAGCCTCTTCCTTACCACTGTCTCCTGGTTTCAGTGGATGGAACCAAACGTAAAGTTTGCCCCAGAGAAGAGAGAAGAGCTGGCCAGCCACAATGAACACAGATGTCTACTGTGTTGGGGGTCAATTTTTTCTCTTTTTTTGAGAGACTTTTGCTATAAAGCATGTGCGCTCATCAGAGAAAGACAGAGAGAAAGTGAAAAATCACGCCCCAGTGGGGTTGGGGATGGCGACACCACAACCCCTTCTCCTCCATTCTCCTTTCAGGATTTTAGGCATGCATGCACACATGCCCAGTATGAGTTTCAAGCTGCTGAGTCTGGGATTCAAACCACAGTTGGCTATATGGGAGTCCAGTGCCTTCACCACCATGCCACCTGCTGGCCCTGGGTGGGTCAATTTTTATTTGAAGGTTGCAATGACAGCAAGGTGGAAGTGTCAAAGTGGTATCTTTTAAGTAGCTGATACAACATAAATAGCATTAACACCAGGAACCACAAATACCAAAGAAGAGGCAGCAATTCCAGGCAGTGGAACTGTCATTTCTCTGCCGAGAAACCAATAAGGAGCAAATGGGTGTCCTCTCCCGTAACAGATCTGACTGGTCCCGGCTGAAGTCCTGGATTGAGGAGGATTCTGAGGCTCCGTAGGAAACATCCTAGTCAATTAGCAATGGCTGTCACAGATCAAGCAGGCACGACTAAGGCACGCATCACATATTTGCTATCCTGTCCTGGAGAGATGTGGCCTTGAGGATGACATGACTGTCTGTAATGTGCCGAGATGAGTCACACAGCCAGACCACAGGCAGCACTCCACACCTCCCCTCTCCAGCTTAGAGTGCCTTGCTGAAGGGGGTCTAGCAGGAAGAAAACCATCACCACAGCCTTCCCTTCCCTATTCTCTGCAGCTCTGCCCTGACCTGCACTGAGACTCCAAAGCACACAGTCACAGGTCCTGGAGTACCAGTCCCACGGGAAGCCCTTCTCTTTGATGGCAAGCACTCTGACAACTCTTTGCTGTTGTTGTTTTTTAAAATTTGACAGAGAGCATGTGCACCCACTAAAATAATAGAGGGGGAAAAAAGGAAAGCAAGAAAGCATTCCCAATAGGGCATGGTCACGCCATAATCCCTTCTTCTTTTTAAGATTTTTAAAAAATAATTATTTACTTTTATTTATTCATTCACTTATTTTAATTTGACCAGAGAGAGAGGGAAAGTGAGAAAGCAAGCCACTAGGTCTGGGACTCAAACCATGGTCAGCCATGTGGGAGTGTCCAGCACCTTAACCACCACGCCACCTGCTGGTCCCTGATCCCTTCTTATCCATTTCTCCCTCTGTTTGGGATTTTGGGCATATAAGCACATGTACACCAGATCCAAGACTTGAACTGTGCACTTAACCATGTGGGATCCATCACCTTAACCACCATAACACTGGCTGGTCCTTGATTGCTCTTTTAAGAGCTGCTCACTCCCTGCCCTTGCAGAGGGGGAAAGAGCAGCAGTTCACAGTGGTTTTCTGGATTCTAAAGGCACCTGAGTGCAGGGTCTCTGGGACTAGAGCCTGGAAGTCAGGGTTCTAGTTAAGCAGGAACTTCTGTCAAGCCACTGCCTTTGCTGAGCCTCAGCATCCTCCTCTGTGAAGGGAGGACCACGACACCTGCTCTGCCTTGCACAGTAACCATGGAGGTTACATGCGATGGCGAAGGTGCCCACAGCCTGCACACCTCCAAGCCTTCTGCACCAGTCTAGCTATGCTGTCCCGCTTCTCCTGTTTATAACACAGTCCGCTCAGTTACTCAGGGCAGGTCCTGCTACCTCTGTACTCCCTGCAGCCCCTGCCCCTCCCTCTCTCTCCTGCTTCTGGAAATTAGGACTGCAGAAAGTAAGGAGAGGTGAAACTCAAGATCATCAGCCTTCTTATTTGATTCTCAGGCTTGCATTCAGTGTTCCATGGAATCAAACTCACCATACTTCACACTTAATAATAATGGCTAATCTTTATTTTTAATTTATTTTTATTTATTTATTTGTTTGTTTGTTTGTTTATTTATTTATTTATTTTGCCAAAGAGCGTGCATGTGCTGGAAAGAGACAGAGAGAGAAAGTGAGAAATCACTGTCCAGGAGGGATGGCCATGCCCCAATACTCTCCTTCATTCTCCTCTCAGGACTTTGGGCTCACACGCACATGAGCCCAGTGTGATGTCCAAGCTGCTGGGTCCAGGACTCAAACTGCAGTTGGCCATGTGGAAATCCAGTCCTTCACCACCACAAAACCTGCTGGCCTGAATAACAACTAATCTTAACAACTGGCTATCCGCTAGGCACTGTTTTGTTTGTTTGTTTTGCTATAGGGCACATACACTTATTACAGAGAGAGGGGGAAAAAAGAGGAAAAGAGGGAGAAAACAGCCCTCAGGGGATGGCTACACTGCAACTCCTCCTCCATTCTTCTCTCGGGGTTTTGGGCATGGATACACACATGCCCTGTGTGTCTTCCAAGCCACCAGGTCCAGGACTCGAAATGCACAGCTGGTCATATGGGATCCAGTTACCTTCACCCCACGCCACTGGCTGGCCCGCGAGGCACTGTCTCAAGCAGTTTATATATAGCAATTCCTTTGGCCTTTGTGCTCGCCCTATGAGGTAGGTTTATTATCTCCCTTCTACAGATAAAACCTAGAGAGGTTGAATAACTTGCCCGGAGTTACCCACTTGGTGGCAGAGCCAGGATTCACACTCACTCAAGGGATCTGACTGCAGATTCCACACCCCTAACCAGCACAACTGTCTATGTTCTATTAGCGGGAGGTGTCAATGTTTTCTCCTGGGGAATATACATTTAAAAAATACAATATGCAGTGCTCATCTATTTTTTCTTTTTAAAGTTTATTTACTCCTTCCATGAGTAAGAGAGACAGAGAGTGGGAGACAGAGACAGCACCCCCAATAGGGCTTATATGCTGCCAGTCCCAGTCACTCCAGGATCATGGGCACGAGTGTGCCCTGAGCATGACGGAGGCCTCTGGCCACAAACCCAGAACAGTCCTGCGTGGGCCAGCCCCACAGAGCACTGTGCTGACCATTGTGTGCTGACCACTGTGCTGACCACTGTACCATCGTTGGGCCTCTGCAGTGCGGAGTTCCACGTTCACGAATCCATACCAGTTGGACTCGCCCAGAGGAAGCTCCCGAAATAGAATTTGCCTGGAATTCCAAGGAATATCACACTGACATGTCATAATCTGGCATTCCCACATCTATCCCCACCCCCATCTATGACGGAGTCTGACGCTAACTTCAACCCGATGGGGGTGGGGGGCTCACTAGGTTAACCTCTGACTAAAAGACCGGAAGGGGATGCCAGTGCTCTGGAGAGCAGCCAATCGGCGAGGCTCTGGCTCCGGGAGGCTGCAGGGGCGCATGGAAGCAGTATTTCTCATGCTGCTCTGTAGA